CCATGATTCTATGAAACTGAGTTCAGACCTCAAGAGAGGAGATGACAAGGGCTCAAGGTGGGAGGAGGGATGTTCCCTTGCTTGGAGAGAACAGGAGGATGCACTGGAGCCCTGAAACCCATCTGAGTTGGAGCTCATCCTGCCTCCAACAAGACCCCACCCTTTCCTAAATCCTCCTTTCTTGGCTGGTCTCCCCCACCCACCCTGGAAAGGCTGCTGTGGATTCCAGCTAGAAGCCCTGCCCCTAGCACAGCTGTAGTGCCTGTGCTTTTGTCGGGGCTTCTGCCAGCCAACTCCCTCATCTGCAGGCGGGTGGCCAGCAGCCGAGTTCCAAACGTCTTTCACTCCAAGTCCATAAACACCTAGCCCTGTTAAGTGTGTGCAGAAGCAAAAATTCACATGGGGTTCTTCAGAGTGTTTTATTCTTCAGGCAGTGTGTGATCCAGTGGAATTGGGAGTGGCACCTGTCAGATGCCTGTGAACATGCAGCTTTGTCTTCTCCCGTAGGTTTGGTCTCATGGTTCAGCCCCCACGTCTCTGCTCTACAGGGAGTTGCGTGGTCTGCAGCACAAGGCTTCCCCGTCTCTTACGGTTCTCTTCAGAAATACTTGAATGTCTTTGCTCAGGTTCACAGACTAGATTTTAAAAAGACGTTTAGGCTCCTTAAGATGGAAATCACGTGACTAGGTGTCAGTTCCATGGACTGAGCAACTCTGAAAATCTGTTTTGTAGGACTGGATAGACAGAAGAGTGTCCATGAGGAATCGCTGATAGCTTGGAGATGTCAGTGAGCGAGTTCTGTCTGTGGTAGAAGACAATGGAGTAGCCAAGCAGAATGGAGAGAGCGTAAGAGACCGGATGAGATGCTGGGGAACCGTGAGGGCAGAAATGTGCAGGTGACGTGCAGAGCCGTGGGGAAGGGAGTAACGCCGTGGAAGGTGGCGCAGGCAGGGCGAGGTGGTGAAACAGCTGGAGGGCTGCATGCCGAGCACTGCGATAGTCAGCTCCTGTTTCCATCACAAGTGACTGTAGGAGGGAGATAGCTGGAAAGAGAAATCTTACACCAGCTCTGAAAGCACTTGCCTTTCAGAAGGGACAAAATCCTTTATCAAAATCACTTAAAATTGTATTGATGGCTTTTCCACATAAACATGCTGCCAGAGTTCGTTTGCCAGGTAGGACCCCCTTGTTGCCAGCGGCGATGGCAGGCTCCCAGGACAGCCTGGTGGCACTTGATCTGCACAGCAGAAGCAAACGCTTAAGATCCTAAACTGCGTCTTCGCTCTAGCAGCACAGCCCTGGAGCAGTTCTGTGTGAGCGCTGCATCTCTGTGCTGCCGGGGCAGTGCTCCTCTGCTGCCCCGGCGTCCTGCCGCTGGCACGCGTTCCTCTGTCCTGCGCCGCCTTCGCCGGTAGGATTACTGAGGCTGAGGTAGCTCGCTGGTGGTCTGCAGCGATTGTGCGTTATCGTGGAGATAGCGTCCAGTGCTCCTGCCATGGATCTGTCTGGTGTCTAAGGGGCTGAATCCAGGAGTAATGTGTGCTAAGGGATGCCTGCAGTACAGCTTTGGCAAGTCAGGCCTGTAGTTTCTTGTGAGGTGCTGGTTGAAAAGTCCACGTGGGGATGTTGTTTTTACTGGCTCTTCTCCCGTTATCAACAAACACCTGTGGTCCCTGCAGTTGCTGGGGGGAAAACACCTCACTGATGGTCTGGGTATTGCAAGAGAAGCCTGCTGAGACAAAAGCCTGGAAATACAGAATGTTTCTCCTCTCCTGTCACGAGTATGGGCCTTCCATTCACTGTCCCTTTGGGCCTTAATTAGCGAAGGGCAGGAGGCGGCTGGCTTACCTGTTGAGTGTGGTTGTGAAGTCATGATGGCAGCAGTGTAGTAACGGGGAGATCCCCGATGGCTCTGAACGTGCTCGGGGCAATCACATTGCTTGGGGATCCTTTGAGACTTCGTGAAATGGAATGTTGTGGAAATTGACTAAAAATCACCGGTCCCTTTCTGTGTTTTGTTCTCTTTAACCTACAGATATTGATGATGTCAGGAAGTACAAACCAGGGTACCTTGAGGCTACGGTCGACTGGTTCCGATTATACAAAGTCCCTGATGGGAAGCCGGAAAATCGGTTCGCTTTCAATGGAGAATTTCAAGACAAGGTGAAGATAATCCAAAATTGAAGAGGCATCTTTGTCTCCTGGGCTCTTTAATACATCCTGAAATTTTTGGAGTTGTAAAGGAGGAGGTTTAACAGAAGGAATTTTTGTGAGGGATCTCTGACTACAAGTGGCAGCTAGGAACAAACAGTTTGCCTTCCGCTTTATTCAGGGGAGATGTGTAGGTCGTCAGAGGGCCTGCCAGAAACCCCACTGTCCTGGCCCTGGCGATTGACACGCGTCTGTGTGCAGGGCTTTTCTCCCTATCAGAGCAGGGAACAGACTGCTCTTCAGGTATCTTTTTTAGCGATGCCGTTTCAGACAGTAGGCTGCAGATCTTCCCAGGTTTGGCTCTGCCCAAGGCTTGCTTTACCTGGTCACTCTGTGTAAAAACATGGGAGCTGGTTTTAGCTTGAAGGCTGCAAAACAGCTTTTATTTAGAAGAAATGAATAGTGTTTAAACTGCTGCAGTAAAAACAGCCAGTGCACTCAGGGAGCAGACCTGGGAACAGACCTTGCTGAAGAACGTACCTGTGTTTTCCAGAGGAAACTTGGATGTGATGTGGGTGAAAGGGCTTTGCGAGCCATGGATTGCACACTCTGTAAGCTGGTTTTGGCGAAGGCTCCCAGGGCCCGAATGAATGATGTTGGTGTGTCAGCCCCTGCAGCCTTGGCACGTGCTGCCCGAGCTGTAAAACACCTGAGCCGCCCGGGCAGCTTGACCTCTTTTCTCTGGTTAAAGAGGTGCCCTGGCTCCCCCTGCACTAAAACTGTCTTTTAAATCAGTCAGACGTAGAGTTGTGCAGCTCCGTGACCTGATCTCCCAGGAGCTGCTCTTGGCGGCTTCCCTGCCGTGTCGCGCAGGGTCGCTCCAGAGCGCGTGTTTAACGGGATATCCCTCTCCGACCGGTGGAGTTCAGGCGTGAGGCACGAGGTGCCCTGAGATGGCTGGTTTGGAGCACTTGGGCATTTCTCAGGGGTTTCTGGAGAGCCAGGATGTGTTGAGGCGGCCGTGGCTGTGCTCCAGCAGCTCTGGTGAAGTTCAGGACGTTCCGGTGGCACTTTGCCAAGTCACTCAGTGCCAGGAAACGTGAATGTTCTGCTGGCAGCTTCTTGCAAGCCACCCCGGATAGCATCCTCTGGGCACCGAGGGCTTGTTTTACCTCATTTTTTCTTAACGCTCTTTCACACCCACCCCCAGTGTTACTGTTGTTTCTAAGCAAACAAACTGTTAAGTAGCTGCTGTGTTACCTTGTTGCAAATGCTGAGGATTGGGAAACTAATGACCCCGATGAGCACGTGTAGCAGAGGGGTGGGAGCTGGAGCTTTGTCCCGTCTGGGCCCTGGTTTGCTGCGGCTGTAGGTGTCTGCTCCCCGGCTAGCGCTGCGCTCCTCCTTCAGTGCAGCCTTCGTGTTCTCTGGCTGCGGGCCGCCGAGGGTCCTGCCTGCCTTGCCGGTGTTTGACAGTCAGGTTTGTCGCTTTCATAAGGAAAGGTGCTAGAGTTTCCAGGAATGTAATGAGGCCTCAAAGGAGGCCCCTTAAAATAACACATGAAACAGTATGTTTTAATAAGCTAGTTCTGTGGCTTTTTTCTGTTTAATAACATTTTAAATCATAAAAATTTTGCTTGATATAAACTAGGCTTTTGCTGTTGAAATTATTAAATCCACCCATGAATACTGGAAAGCTCTGCTTCATAAAAAAGCTGATGGAGGCACTATTAAGTGGTGAGTATCCAGTGACGTCTTCTCTCTGTATTGTGCTGGTAGTGGGGGTACTCGGCATGTGGCAGCTGTGCATGAGCTGCTCAGACTTCTCACTCCGAGATGGCAGGAGTACGGGGTTCTGATAATTAGTCCGTAATAGACTGATTGACTAATTGCACCTTGTATGATAATGATGATTTACTGGTAAGCAAATCCAAAAATCTATTGGTTATAGAAGTGTGACACAGATTACTTCAGGTTCCAAGACAGGGCCCCAGAGTGTTTGTCAGGATCGTTCTGGGAGAATCTTGGTATGCTGTGCAAATCCTCTTCTCACTGCTTGTTCCATCCTCCATGCTGCATCCCTGTGATGCAGAATTGCTTTGCAGCTTAGCTTTCCATATTTTTTAGTTGCTCTCTGGACTGAGAGGACCAAATTACTGTTCTTTACCAGCCTTTGGCCTGATCCAAATGAAAATGGATGTTATGAAGCTCCCAGGACTGGTTTGCCTTGGCAGCTCTGGCACTGGAGGCCCGAAGAGCTGGCAGGAGTCACTGCTGGTGCTTTCCAGAGGCTGTAGCTTGCCATCAGCTGAATGGGGGCGAGGGCTGGGAGGGAAGCTGTGCTCAGGTGCTCGCTGTCATTGTCTTTATTGGGAAAATGGGACTTCCTCTCTCCTGGAGCTGATGGAACACCTTAACCCTTGGGCAGCATGGCACGAACACTGCAGGATAATACTCAAATGTTGGTCTCGGTCATTTTGGAGGCACCTTTTGCTTTATGTTGACAAAATTAAAAAGTAATTAAAGTTGCAGTCTCGCTTTGAGGAATTGCACTTCTTGCTGGTTACTGTGTAGGACCCAAAGCTCATGCCCAAACTCACTTTTGGTGTGGAAGGATACATATTCGTAGGCAAACGCTTCTGCAGAGTGTTTGGTGTTGGAGTTGGTCTGCTCTCTGGAAGCAGTGCAGGTGGCTCCTGCTTTATGGAGGAGCAGAATCCTGACCTGTTGTTTTTCCACAGGCTCCGGCCAACTTTGAAGGCCAGGAGGTGGGCGGATGTTTGCACCATCTGTGCTGGCCATCAGGGGTTCAGGTCCCCCAGGAAGTGCCCGTTTCTCTGCGGGCTTTGGGGGGGATGTAGTTCCTTAGCTGTGGTCCTCTGAGCTGTAGCTAGGTCAGCTGCCGGAAGCCCGGAGTGTGAGCACTGCATTAACACGGGATATGCAGCCTAAAAACCCTCTCGCACCCAAAGAAACAAAGAACCCCCCTCTGCACCCCGTTCCCTTCTGGCGCTGCTGGCTACTCTCTGCCTTTGGCTTCTTGTTTCTTGCGAGTACATGTCTGAGCGCTGTACGTGAAGGTGTTTTTCCATAGGTGCTTAATTGTCTGTCTCTTCCACTGGTGGGTAAAACGTGTTTGTAAACTTGTCTTTCAGCACAAATGTTCTGGTGAGTGGCAGCCCGTTTTGTTGCAGTGAGGAGGATGCCCGATCGATTGTGCAGTCGGTAAGGATAATATCTATTCTGCTCCCCCTCCCTTTGTTTTTTGAAATAACTAATAGGGAAAAGGCTGCAAAGCTGAAATCAAGTGGCTAAACTGAAACAGTCCTTAAACCGAACGCGGGGCGTAAGGGCAAAGGAAGAGCACAGAGGTGGTGGGGAAACGTAAGCGTTACAATCCCAACCTTTCATCGCCATGGGCTGATTGTGCTGTCTGGCAGGTTCATTGCTGCTCTGGTGGGGCTCTGTCTTTGGTGTTTTTCTCCCTCTGCAGTGCTGTTTCTTCTCATCCTGAATAGCAGGATAGACTGCTGTTTGTATCTCGCCTGCTGTCTGCTCTGTCTCCCCTGTTGCCATGAGTTACCACCCAGTGTTAGAGCTCATTGACTGCTCACTGGAGTCCCTAATCGCTAAAGGGATCCTTTGTTGCTCTACTTGCATAATTAACTGCATTGCTGGAGGGGGGGTGGGGCTTTTTGAATGTTTCTTAAAGAGTGTCTGTCATATTCTGGAAATGAACATAAAATTAAAGCATGCAGGTTGCCTGTTCAGGGGAGAAAAACACCCTGCAGGTCTGCTGCTTTCATGGGAAAATGCTGGTACGGGAGGATATTTCCCTTCTAAAAGGATGCTCCTTTGGATGCCAGAAGGGAAGGGAAGTTGCCAGAAATCACACGAGAAAAGTGCCCCCGAGTATTGCTTGGTGTTTTATCACAAGGAACTGGGACTGTCAGCTGCAGAGAGGGGGTGGGTCAGGTCAGAGAGCAGTGTCAAACCGAACTGCTTTTCCTGTTCGGGTCTCTTGCTTTCAGCACCTCCTGAAAAGTACCTTTATGGTTGCGCTTGTAGATGTTGAGTAGAGGGGCTGTAAGCCTAAATGGAAGGAAAACTCATTTTGGAATTCAAATGTGTGGCCATGCACGCCAGGCGCAGCTGTACGCGGGCACTTACCCCGCTGTACTTGCAAGGTTACAGTGGCTTTAGTGAGTGTTTAAATGCAGCTGAAATCTTGGGGTCAGACGTCTTTGAATGGAGACAGACCTGCAAAGGAGTATTTTGTGGTCTGTGCTGTTTGAAGTGTGAAGAGCAAATGATTGTCTGTGTCCATTGGGCAATAATCCATTATTTTGTCTTAATAACAAGTCGGTTACCCCTCTTTTTTGGGGAGCGGTTGGTAAAGCCCGTTCATAACATAGGTCCCTCCTATCAAATGTTAACGTATTCTTATTGTGAGCGCTTGTATTCTTATCAAATCTCCACCTTCCTGGGTGTCTTTGTGCCTCGCTTCCCGTTCTGCACGTGACAGAGGTTTTGTGAAGCCGGCATGACACGCTCCTGTCCATTGTTCCCTTTCAGTCCAGTCCAGGTGCTTCAGCTGTCCTTGGTAGGCAGCTGTCCCTTGGCCCCCTCAGGCAGGGGAAGGATGGATGCTCCTACGTACTCTTCCTGCCGCGTGCAGTTTGCAACAACTTCGAGTAAAGTGCTCTGGAAATGCGGGTGGTGGGTAGTCTGGCTGGAAGCACGGCTGACTGGTGTGTTTTCGGCGGGTGTCTTTGTCTGGTAGGCTGCACTGCCCGCCCCGGCTGCCAGGCATTCGGCTCCTTCAAGGGAGGTTGGCTGCGGAATCCTCGCGGCTGGGGTGACTCGAAATGAGAGCTGGCTGCAGGTTGGTTTGTCTGGGTTTTGGTGGTTTTTAAACCAAAATCAGATATGCTGTCTTATTTATGGCCATCTAACTTCAGGATCAACCCAGCAGAACGAGAGCGGGGGTAGAGACCTCATGTGCAAGCGCGCGGAGAGGTGTATTCCAGCTACTGCAGAGTTTGAGCCGCTGGTGCAGTGAGCACTGGGCCCCTCAGTTCTGCTTCCTGGGCCAGGCTTCACGCACGGGATTTTTGAGTGGGTGACAGTTGCCTTAACTTGGGTATATTGAGTTCTCAAAGAAAACCCCAACAATAACAACAAAACCCCTCAAACAGCAAACCCCAAAGGCAACATTCAGTGTTGTTATGAACCAGCTTCCCATGGAAGACCAGCAGAAATCCTCACCAAATGCTTACCACGGTGTGCACTAATCGGAATTCCATACGGATTCTGACTGGATAGTTCCCAAGGTGGTCCCGTTGATTTTGGCAGGATTTATTGTGCTGCTCTTTGGCCCTTCGTTGCTTCGCATGCGTGGGACTGGAGTGGCTTGTCTGGGGAATATCCCCCCGCTGCACTGCTTTCCAGACGGTGGCCGTCGGCACTGCCGTGTGTGGGTGGCAGACCAGGAGGGGTTCTATAGCCAGTGAAGCTGCCATGTCCAGTCGGTCCCAAAGCAACAGGAGACAGTCTGCACGTGGAACACACGTGGAACGCTTGGACCAGCCAGTGTTGAGCCAGCCCCTGCAACTACAAGCCCAGCTGAGTTTCTGTACCCTCAGAGACCAGTTCCGGCTCGTGGCAGCTTCAGCGCAGGGCTGTGTTGAAAACGGCACGCAGGAGGAGCGGAGCGCCGTGGCTGAATGTGTCAGTGCTGAGATGAACCCTTTGTGTCAGCATCTCCAGAGCTGGCCAGGCCAGCCGAACCTGTGCTTGGCGTGAATCCCGAGACCTGCTTGTTCTGTGAAGCAGCTGCTGAGGACTCTGCGAGCTGGAAAATTGCCAAGGCAATCTCTGTATAGTTGCAGCAGCGTTTCCCAGACCCACCGTTCTTCCCTCATAATGCTGGAAAGTGGGCTAGGGAAGCTGTGCTAGATGAGGAGTCCTCTGGTAAAATGCAGAACAGTGTCTAACAGGGCAAAATATTTGGCTTTTCCTGATCATTTAAGAAGTCTCCAAAGCTTGAATCCGTATAGTTCGTGTGTTTCAGATAACTCCAGCCTAGGCAGGACAGTCTGTTAACTGCCTTCTCCCCACGTGATTTCTGTGAGGATGCTTTGCTTTGGGACTGACTCAAACCAGTTTTCTGTTCAGTGGCCAGTTGTGAAAGAGAAGGTTGGTGGGGGTTTTGCTCTGTTTGGGGGGGGAAATGTGGTGTTTGGGGGTGTTTTTAATTATTTTTTTCTTTACATGGAGTTCCAAATGAAAGGGCTGTGTAGTGAAGAGATTCCTTGTTCCGTGGATGACTTGATCTGTTCCTGGTGGGAAGGTGCTGAGTCCTTATCTCAGAACTCTGAGCAGTTTTCCCAGAAAGGACGGGCATCGGATTGTGCTTTGGGAGCTCTGGCTCTCGTGCCTTATGGATACAGCCTTGGTTTTACTGGAAAGGAGATGGTCTGGTGTTAAGGCCTGGGATGTGCTTCCGTAGAACGCAAGAGCTCTGCTCTGGGGAGACCCCCCTGCAGTTCTGCCTCCAGCTCTGGGGCCCCCAGTAGCAGGAGGACACGGAGCTGTTGGAGTGAGTCCAGAGGAGGCCCCGGAGATGCTCCGAGGGCTGGAGCCCCTCTGCCCTGGGGACAGGCTGGGAGAGTTGGGGGGTTCAGCCTGGAGAAGGGAAGGCTCCAGGGAGACCTCAGAGCCCCTTCCAGTGCCTGGGGGGCTACAAGGAATCTGGGGGGGCTTTTCC